GGGTAGATGAGGAGAGTCCATATGAATGGGGTAGATGAGGAGAGTCCATATGAATGGGGTAGATGAGGAGAGTCCATATGAATGGGGTAGAATAGCACAGAAGTTTTGGGTCCATTTCTCTCACCCGAAGCTTTTTGTCTCTGAAGAGGAGTTTGTGGCCAGTTTCATTCAGCTCCAGCCAGTTGATCTTGGTGTCATGGGTGACCATCCCGATATTATAACCGGTGACTAGATCCACTGCCATAAACAGGAAGACAATTGTCAATCAGAAAATGTAGAACGATAGTGAGGAACCTATTCATCCAATCACATATGGGAAGAGAAGGGGATACCTCAAGTCAGTATGTGTGGGAAGATGAAACCGAAACCTACAGATGAGTCAGTATGTGCAAGGTGGAGCAGACACCTACAGATGGGTCCGTATGTGGCACGGTGGAGCAGACACCTATAGATGGGTCAGTAAGTGGCAAGGTGGAGCAGACACCTACAGATGGGTCCGTATGTGGCAAGGTGGAGCAGACACCTATAGATGGGTCAGTATGTGGCAAGGTGGAGCAGACACCTACAGATGGGTCCGTATGTGGCACGGTGGAGCAGACACCTATAGATGGGTCAGTAAGTGGCAAGGTGGAGCAGACACCTACAGATGGGTCAGTATGTGGCAGGGTAGAGAAGACACCTATAGGTGGGTCAGTATCTGGCAAGGTGGAGCAGACACCAATAGATGAGTCAGTATGTGGCAAGCTGGAGCAGACACCTATAGATGGGTCAGTAAGTGGCAAGGTGGAGCAGACACCTATAGATGGGTCAGTATGTGGCAAGGTGGAGCAGACACCTATAGATGGTTGGTCCTATTGTAGATGGGCAGTACATGTGTACCCTGTGGACACCCTGCCCTGGATCAGCTAGTGTATGGATTTGACAGGACAGTGGAACATGGCAGGCAAATGTTTGAGTTCCCCTGAAATTTTACCTATAGCAATTGTCTTCATGTCAATCAGATAGGCCAGCTTCTTGTTGTCTTCTACACCGCGCTGCTTCCTCTCATTTAGACGGGCGCTATACACAGACAAAGCAGAATAGATGAGCCGAGACAATATTTTCTTCAGCACTCATTTTTTGGTGCGTTTCTAGTAGTAGTCATGTAGTGGGGTATTTAGTTTTTTTTGCTGCCCTCAGCAAGACTACACTCAGGCGCCCCCACGCAATCTAAATCTGCCCCACCCCTTCCTGTTTAAGACATTTTGCTTAAGCTGTCAGTCGCTGTATCCAGCTTCTGACAGGTTACGTAACTATCGTAGCAGGGTAGCCGGGGTCTCAGGTGGGCTGTAAAGAATCTCAGCCTGAGACCCTGCAGAGCCCACCACAGACCCCGCATACCCTACCTGAGACCTTGCAGAGCCCACCACAGACCGTGCACAACCCACCATAGAACCTGCAAAGCCCACCACAGACTCTCAGGTGGGCTCTGCAGGATCTATGGTGGGCTGTGCAGGGTCCTTTTCCTGAAGCCCCCCAGCCTGCCTTCGGGGCATCCCGCCGTCAGATGGTGGGGTATGGGCAGCCTTGAACTGCCCACAGCTTCTTCCCGCAGTACCTCCTCCGGCCGGGCCGCCACCCAGCCGCGCCTTGGCCCCTCCTCCTCCACTCAGCAGCTCTTTCAGATAAATTAGGCGGCCGCGAGACCACACTGATTTGGGGGTGGCTTCTGTAGCTGTGATAATATCCACCATAGGGACACATCTAGGCACTACAGAGGAGACAACTGGTTTGCATGAGGACATCTACGTCAAAAGGGGCGGGGGGCCTTCAACACATCTGTCATAACATATATTGCGGCTTTAACATCTCTACTCCTGGTGTATCGACAACAATTCCCACCTCCAGCCATGTAAATCGGAGGTTTAGGACTCATGAAGTCTTCCCGACACATAGAATGGGATTATGGAACCAGAACTAAGCGGTTTCACAACTTTTACACCTCCCGTCCTGTTTTGGACAGTAACACCCAGACACATCACTTGCATGGTGATTGGATTGAGGTGTCCGTACTTCCTATGTGGATGGAGTACTTCCTGTGTGGGTGGAGTACTTCCTGTGTGGATGGAGTACTTCCTGTGTGGACACTAATCAGAACAGAAGCAGTGGCTCGGAAAACCTGTTAAACGTCTTCAACATTACAGAACAAATCCAGTTGAATATGACGGAGTACAACGAGATATTCCAGGGCCGGGATCAATGCGACCTTCACAGACTTCCTGGGGGTGTTAAATCCGAACATCAAGACATTTATCCGTGAAATACTGCGGCACAAATCGGTTTTGGTGCATGGAATTTACGTTTTGTTTGACGGTTTATGATCATTGCATGGTGAGGGGTTATGAATTTTCAGCGTTTAGGTGATGGGTCTATGACTGTTGTATGGTGAGGAGGTAAGGGCCATGGCAGCCGCACTTACCTGATGAGATGGGGGTTCATGAACTCCGTGCGGACAGTCCCCAGGACCTCGTAACTTCCGTACTCCACCAGCGTCAGCTCCCCAGCATTGAAGATCATACAGACCTGTGAGACATACACGTTATCATCCACGAGCACACCCCCCCCCCACCTGGAGAATGGGTGGAGATTGACAGAATTGTGGGGTACAAAGGGTGGAGAAAAGCAAGATTTCACAAAGCAGGGAGGGAAAAGAAAGGCAGAATATTGGGTACCATGACCTGGGACAAGCAGAATAATAGAATGCATGGGATGGGGGGAGAAAAGGGGAGGCAGGCAGTAGACAGGAGGCTGTCCACTGGCAGAATTTATTGGTGCAGGAGCACACATAATTTTGGGATGCAGTGGAGGAGACTGGCACAGTTTTGGGGTGCAAGGGTGGAGGCAGGCAGAATTTTGGGGTGCAAGGGTGGAGGCAGGCAGAATTTTGGGGTGCAAGGGTGGAGGCAGGCAGAATTGTGTGGCAGCGGCAGGTAAAAATTTGGGGGTGCAGAATCAGAAGCACACAAAAATTAGGGGTTCAAAGGGAGAGGCAGGAAGAGTTTTGGGACAGCGGGTGTGGCAAGGTATAATTCTGAAGTGCAGGGTCAGGCAGAATTTTGGGGCCACATAGTGGAGGCAGGAAGAATTTGTGGTGCAGAGTCGGATAAAGGCAGAATTCAGAGTTAGGAGGGTGGAGACAAGGGTGGAGGCAGGCAGAATTTTGGGGTGCAAGGGTGGAGGCAGGCAGAATTGTGTGGCAGCGGCAGGTAAAAATTTGGGGGTGCAGAATCAGAAGCACACAAAAATTAGGGGTTCAAAGGGAGAGGCAGGAAGAGTTTTGGGACAGCGGGTGTGGCAAGGTATAATTCTGAAGTGCAGGGTCAGGCAGAATTTTGGGGCCACATAGTGGAGGCAGGAAGAATTTGTGGTGCAGAGTCGGATAAAGGCAGAATTCAGAGTTAGGAGGGTGGAGGCAGGCAGAACTCTGAGGCAGCTGTTGCTGGCAGAAAGAATTTTGGGTGCGGGGGCAGAGACAAGCAATATTTTGGGGGGCAAGTGCAAAGCCAGGCAGAATTTTGAGTTGAAAGGGCAAAGGCAGGCAGCATTTTGGGGCAGTAGGGAAAGGGATGATAGCGGCTCTCTCCAGTACTGTGTATTTTGTGCTTCTTACATTCTCATTTTCAAAGAAGAATTTCTCGTTTCCTCCAGAAGCCGGCCAGGCCACCTATAGGAAGGAGACAGCAAGGTCACATGACATCGTGAGCTGTAGATATAGAGGCTCGCACAGGTTCAGTAGTTTACAGTTTCATTATTACATGAATCATTTGCCATCAGTTGCTATGGGTTACCACCCTGCACACATCATCTTTCTGTGGGGAGATCGTACCTCGCTCAGCTGGTTGGTGCCCAGATCTCCGAGCAGTAAGGTGTCCGATGTGTGCGCCACCAGGTACTGGTCCTTGCCCATGATTTTAACCTCACTGACTTCGTAGCCGTACCGGGATTTCAGGAACACGCGGGTCCCGGTGGAGAGATTCTTTACAATCACCTGCAGAACAGATCGGAGAACATATTCCTACAGCGCTGTCTGTGTGACGTATATCACTGCAGGCGATCAGTGAGCACAGCCGAGCAGACACCGGGATCAGAAATCAGCATACATCATGTTATATGTACCGCACACACTGTGTGGACTCACCTGGCTGGGGCCCTCATAGGTCATCTTATATGTAACACACACACTGCCTGGACTCACCTGGCCGGGGCCCTCATAGATCATCTTATATCTAACACACACACTGCCTGGACTCACCTGGCCGGGGCCCACATAGGTCATCTTATATCTAACACACACACTGCCTGGACTCACCTGGCCGGGGCCCACATAGGTCATCTTATATCTAACACACACACACTGCCTGGACTCACCTGGCCGGGGCCCACATAGGTCATATTATATCTAACACACACACTGCCTGGACTCACCTGGCTGGGGCCCACATAGGTCATATTATATCTAACACACACACTGCCTGGACTCACCTGGCTGGGGCCCTCATAGATCATCTTATATCTAACACACACACTGCCTGGACTCACCTGGCTGGGGCCCTCATAGGTCATCTTATATCTAACACACACACTGCCTGGACTCACCTGGCTGGGGCCCTCATAGATCATCTTATATCTAACACACACACTGCCTGGACTCACCTGGCTGGGGCCCTCATAGGTCATCTTATATCTAACACACACACTGCCTGGACTCACCTGGCTGGGGCCCTCATAGGTCATCTTATATCTAACACACACACTGCCTGGACTCACCTGGCTGGGGCCCTCATAGGTCATATTATATCTAACACACACTGTCTGGACTCACCTGGCTGGGGCCCTCATAGGTCATATTATATCTAACACACGCACTGCCTGGACTCACCTGGCTGGGGCCCTCATAGGTCATATTATATCTAACACACGCACTGCCTGGACTCACCTGGCTGGGGCCCTCATAGGTCATATTATATCTAACACACGCACTGCCTGGACTCACCTGGCTGGGGCCCTCATAGGTCATATTATATCTAACACACGCACTGCCTGGACTCACCTGGCTGGGGCCCTCATAGGTCATATTATATCTAACACACGCACTGCCTGGACTCACCTGGCTGGGGCCCTCATAGGTCATATTATATCTAACACACGCACTGCCTGGACTCACCTGGCTGGGGCCCTCATAGGTCATATTATATCTAACACACGCACTGCCTGGACTCACCTGGCTGGGGCCCTCATAGGTCATATTATATCTAACACACGCACTGCCTGGACTCACCTGGCTGGGGCCCTCATAGGTCATATTATATCTAACACACGCACTGCCTGGACTCACCTGGCTGGGGCCCTCATAGGTCATATTATATCTAACACACGCACTGCCTGGACTCACCTGGCTGGGGCCCTCATAGGTCATATTATATCTAACACACGCACTGCCTGGACTCACCTGGCTGGGGCCCTCATAGGTCATATTATATCTAACACACGCACTGCCTGGACTCACCTGGCTGGGGCCCTCATAGGTCATATTATATCTAACACACGCACTGCCTGGACTCACCTGGCTGGGGCCCTCATAGGTCATATTATATCTAACACACGCACTGCCTGGACTCACCTGGCTGGGGCCCTCATAGGTCATATTATATCTAACACACGCACTGCCTGGACTCACCTGGCTGGGGCCCTCATAGGTCATATTATATCTAACACACGCACTGCCTGGACTCACCTGGCTGGGGCCCTCATAGGTCATATTATATCTAACACACGCACTGCCTGGACTCACCTGGCTGGGGCCCTCATAGGTCATATTATATCTAACACACGCACTGCCTGGACTCACCTGGCTGGGGCCCTCATAGGTCATATTATATCTAACACACGCACTGCCTGGACTCACCTGGCTGGGGCCCTCATAGGTCATATTATATCTAACACACGCACTGCCTGGACTCACCTGGCTGGGGCCCTCATAGGTCATATTATATCTAACACACGCACTGCCTGGACTCACCTGGCTGGGGCCCTCATAGGTCATATTATATCTAACACACGCACTGCCTGGACTCACCTGGCTGGGGCCCTCATAGGTCATATTATATCTAACACACGCACTGCCTGGACTCACCTGGCTGGGGCCCTCATAGGTCATATTATATCTAACACACGCACTGCCTGGACTCACCTGGCTGGGGCCCTCATAGGTCATATTATATCTAACACACGCACTGCCTGGACTCACCTGGCTGGGGCCCTCATAGGTCATCTTATATGTAACACACACACTGCCTGGACTCACCTGGCTGGGGCCCTCATAGGTCATATTATATCTAACACACACTGTCTGGACTCACCTGGCTGGGGCCCACATAGATCATATTATATCTAACACACACACTGCCTGGACTCACCTGGCCGGGGCCCTCATAGGTCATCTTATATCTAACACACACACTGCCTGGACTCACCTGGCTGGGGCCCTCATAGGTCATCTTATATGTAACACACACACTGCCTGGACTCACCTGGCCGGGGCCCACATAGGTCATATTATATCTAACACACACACTGCCTGGACTCACCTGGCCGGGGCCCACATAGATATAATATGACCTAACACACACACTGTCTGGACTCACCTGGCCGGGGCCCTCATAGATCATATTATATCTAACACACACACTGTCTGGACTCACCTGGCCGGGGCCCTCATAGATCATATTATATCTAACACACACACTGTCTGGACTCACCTGGCCGGGGCCCTCATAGATCATATTATATCTAACACACACACTGTCTGGACTCACCTGGCCGGGGCCCTCATAGATCATATTATATCTAACACACACACTGCCTGGACTCACCTGGCTGGGGCCCACATAGGTCATCTCAAACTTATTCTTGTACAACGACCGGCGCAAACAACAGTCGAATTGCTCCACTCCTCCGCACAGCGTCCCCTGGGAGGTAGGAGAGGATAGAGAGGTCACCACACTTCTTGTACTAAGCTATATGACAACTTAGGTCACAGCATAAAGAATGCAATTTCTTGTACTGGGATGTAAAGGTGACAAATTATATCACTGGTGTCTGGAGCTGGGACCTGACTCGTCACCCTTCCCAAAGAGGACCTGTTATATAAGCAAAACAAAAACCCAACTAGTCCCTTTTATCAGGCACCATGAGGTACTTTCATTCATCTTCTCCTGTGAGCACAGGGAACCCCCAAAACACCACACTGAGGAAGCAATCCTGGACTTCAGGAGCTCTGACTGAACCCCCCAAATCCACCACATTGAGGAAGCAATTCTGGACCTTAGGAGCTACGAATGAACCCCCATATCACACTCAGGAAGCAGGCCTGGACTTCAGGAGCTGACTGAACCCCCATATCCACCATATTGAGGAAGCAATCCTGGACCTCTGGAGCTATGACTGAACCCCCATATCCACCACACTCAGGAAGCAGGCCTCGACTTCAGGAGCTACCACTGAACCCCCATATCTATAACACTCAGGAAGCAGGCCTGGACTTCAGGAGCTACGACTGAACCCCCATATCACACTCAGGAAGCAGGCCTGGACTTCAGGAGCTACGACTGAACCCCCATATCTATAACACTCAGGAAGCAGGCCCGGACTTCAGGAGCTGGCTGAACCCCCATATCCACCACATTGAGGAAGCAGGCCTGGACTTCAGGAGCTACAACTGAACCCCCATATCTATAACACTCAGGAAGCAGGCCTGGACTTCAGGAGCTGGCTGAACCCCCATATCTATCACACTCAGGAAGCAGGCCTGGACATCAGGAGCTACAACTGAACCCCCATATCTATCACACTCAGGAAGCAGGCCTGGACATCAGGAGCTACAACTGAACCCCCATATCTATCACACTCAGGAAGCAGGCCTGGACTTTAGGAGCTACAACTGCCTTCCCTTCCATCCCCCAATGTAATACAGCTCCCCAAGCCATTGATAGGGAGTGACTCCACATGTGTCAGAACGCCAAGCTTGAAGTATACAGTTTATTCAGAAGTGTCCTCACCGCACACAGACGAGAGCCGTCCCTCTTCCAGGCCAATGCAGTGATGCTGTACAGGTGCGGAATGTCTTTGGGTTTGGCCTCCTCCCATAATCCTCTGCGGAGGCTCCAGTTCAGGACCCGAAGCCTAGGGAGAGGAAGAGTCAGTAAGTGTCAGGACATTATACATGCCCACCATAACATCGACCATCTTCCTACCTGTCATGGCTGCCGACAACCACGGACTGGCCGCTGGGACTGGTGACAGCCACGCTCAGTTCTTTCTCTGCAGGGTCCCGGCTGTAGTCAAAGGTCTGAATGATCTGCCCTTCCCTTCCATAGGCCACCAGCTTCTTGTCGCAGCCTCCTGCCACAATGCTGTTAGATGCCCATGCCAGGGCGTAAGGTGGGCATGGGTGGGTAACCAGCTTCCCCTGTAACACATCAAAAACATGGTAAGAACCCCGGAGAGGGACATGTTATGAGACTTTGTATTACTCTGTAGATCAGTCCTGTGTGTGCCCAGAAGCCGCCGGTCACAAGGCCCAAGAAAGTCCTGCTGAGCCAGCCCAACACAGACCACCTCCACTATCCTCATCTGGTGATATTGAAGACAACGGCTTGCTCCCACTCCTCTCCAGCAGCTCAGTGGGTTGGGGGGGCAGAGAAGGTAAATGCTCAGCATCTCGGCAAGAGAGGAACTTTATCATCATGGAAACCCCAATCAGGCTGCAGGTAGAGATACAGAGATGACCGACATCCCTTGTCACTCACACTGAGGAGGGCAGGACGGGGGTGTGGAAACCGTACAGGACAGGTAGGGAGGACATCATCACCCCGTACAGGACAGGGAGGGAGGACATCATCTCCCCGTACAGGACAGGGAGGGAGGACATCATCTCCCCGTACAGGACAGGGAGGGAGGACATCATCTCCCCGTACAGGACAGGGAGGGAGGACATCATCTCCCCGTACAGGACAGGGAGGGAGGACATCATCTCCCCGTACAGGACAGGGAGGGAGGACATCATCTCCCCGTACAGGACAGGGAGGGAGGACATCATCTCCCCGTACAGGACAGGGAGGGAGGACATCATCTCCCCGTACAGGACAGGGAGGGAGGACATCATCTCCCCGTACAGGACAGGGAGGGAGGACATCATCTCCCCGTACAGGACAGGGAGGGAGGACATCATCTCCCCGTACAGGACAGGGAGGGAGGACATCATCTCCCCGTACAGGACAGGGAGGGAGGACATCATCTCCCCGTACAGGACAGGGAGGGAGGACATCATCTCCCCGTACAGGACAGGGAGGGAGGACATCATCTCCCCGTACAGGACAGGGAGGGAGGACATCATCTCCCCGTACAGGACAGGGAGGGAGGACATCATCTCCCCGTACAGGACAGGGAGGGAGGACATCATCTCCCCGTACAGGACAGGGAGGGAGGACATCATCTCCCCGTACAGGACAGGGAGGGAGGACATCATCTCCCCGTACAGGACAGGGAGGGAGGACATCATCTCCCCGTACAGGACAGGGAGGGAGGACATCATCTCCCCGTACAGGACAGGGAGGGAGGACATCATCTCCCCGTACAGGACAGGGAGGGAGGACATCATCTCCCCGTACAGGACAGGGAGGGAGGACATCATCTCCCCGTACAGGACAGGGAGGGAGGACATCATCTCCCCGTACAGGACAGGGAGGGAGGACATCATCTCCCCGTACAGGACAGGGAGGGAGGACATCATCTCCCCGTACAGGACAGGGAGGGAGGACATCATCTCCCCGTACAGGACAGGGAGGGAGGACATCATCTCCCCGTACAGGACAGGGAGGGAGGACATCATCTCCCCGTACAGGACAGGGAGGGAGGACATCATCTCCCCGTACAGGACAGGGAGGGAGGACATCATCTCCCCGTACAGGACAGGGAGGGAGGACATCATCTCCCCGTACAGGACAGGGAGGGAGGACATCATCTCCCCGTACAGGACAGGGAGGGAGGACATCATCTCCCCGTACAGGACAGGGAGGGAGGACATCATCTCCCCGTACAGGACAGGGAGGGAGGACATCATCTCCCCGTACAGGACAGGGAGGGAGGACATCATCTCCCCGTACAGGACAGGGAGGGAGGACATCATCTCCCCGTACAGGACAGGGAGGGAGGACATCATCTCCCCGTACAGGACAGGGAGGGAGGACATCATCTCCCCGTACAGGACAGGGAGGGAGGACATCATCTCCCCGTACAGGACAGGGAGGGAGGACATCATCTCCCCGTACAGGACAGGGAGGGAGGACATCATCACCCCGTACAGGACAGGTAAGGAGGACATCATCACACAGTACAGGACAGGTATGGAGGACATCATCACCCCGTACGGGACAGGTATGGAGGACATCATCACCCCGTACAGGACAGGTAGGGAGGACATCATCACCCCGTACAGGACAGGTAAGGAGGACATCATCATCCAGTACAGGACAGGTAGGGAGGACATCATCACCCCGTACTGGACAGGTAAGGGAGGACATCATCACCCCGTACAGGACAGGTAAGGGAGGACATCATCACCCCGTACAGGACAGGTATGGAGGACATCATCACCCCGTACAGGACAGGTAAGGGAGTAATGAATGTCATGGGACTCACCTGAGATTCCCCGGATCCCTCATCATCGAAGAAGTAGCGGACGATCGTGCCATCAGCGTGTCCAGACAGAATTCCTTTCCCCGAAACACTGTGACCCCAGAGAGAGGACGAGGTTACCGCTGTGACATCCCACATACACACTGCAAATGGTGGAAGACTTGTTGGTTTTGGTGTTTGCCATCCGCACCTGGAGAGCAGAGAAAACATCTAGAGATTATTTTATTGTATTACACAAAATCCTCCTTCACCCGCGTCTCACCCGCCCCCCTCCCAGGCACTGCAGCTCACAGTGGGAGGGTTTCAGCAGCAGAGGCAGTGCTGCCAATCCAGAAAGCAGTGGGTGGGACTAGGTGTGGCCAGGATTTGAGTGGTAGGTGGAGCCTGCTGGGCTCCTCCCACAGCTCTGCTCTCTGCACATGCTCCTTTTACAAGGTAATATCTGGGCTTGTAAAGGCATTTGGGGCAGCAAAGTGGATGGCGGCCCTTTTATGGTGAATCGCAGTTTGTGTGTCCGGAGCTCGGGTGTAAGTGCCGCGCAGGGGACGGGGGATTGGATAGGAAACTCTGTGAAACATGGCGGCTACGGAAATACAGCGCGGGAAAAGTGAACGTACCTTCCCTTCCGCCAGGCCGAAGACGACGGTGTTCTCCAGAGGCCAGAGGAGGCAGGTGATCGCACTCTGCGGAGTGGAGACACAACAGGTGAAAGAAGAAATCAGGCTGTCATTATGACTAGAATACACAGTACAGATATGGGCCCATCTGACTACAGCACCCGGGGGAGCTGGGGGATCTGCTGCGTCTGAGGAACTACCTTACCATGCAGGAGCTCAATGTGTCCTAGATATGAACACACTACAACGTGCAGCACCCGGGGGAGCTGGGGGATCCGCTGCGTCTGAGGAACTACCTTACCATGCAGGAGCTCAATGTGTCCTAGATATGAACACACTACAGCGTGCAGCACCCGGGGGAGCTGGGGGATCTGCTGCGTCTGAGGAACTACCTTACCATGCAGGAGCTCAATGTGTCCTAGATATGAACACACTACAGCGTGCAGCACCCGGGGGAGCTGGGGGATCTGCTGCGTCTGAGGAACTACCTTACCATGCAGGAGCTCAATGTGTCCTAGATATGAACACACTACAGCGTGCAGCACCCGGGGGAGCTGGGGGATCTGCTGCGTCTGAGGAACTACCTTACCATGCAGGAGCTCAATGTGTCCTAGATATGAACACACTACAGCGTGCAGCACCCGGGGGAGCTGGGGGATCTGCTGCGTCTGAGGAACTACCTTACCATGCAGGAGCTCAATGTGTCCTAGATATGAACACACTAAAAAAATGATGTGCTCCGCCCCCTCCCACATTTCACCCAATAATCTCAGTCATAGGAGGCGGGGAAGTCTTGGGGAGTCAGAACCCTCATACTGTACCCCAGACCCCACAATGACACCATGTTATAGTTGATGTGACTCCGCCCCTTCACACATTTCACCCAATAGCCTCAGTCATAGGAGGCGGGGGGGGGGGGTCTAGGAGGGTGGAACCCTCATACTGTACCTCAGATCCCACAATGACACCATGTTATAGTTGATGTGCTCCGCCCCCTCCCACATTTCACCCAATAATCTCAGTCATAGGAGGCGGGGAAGTCTTGGGGAGTCAGAACCCTCATACTGTACCCCAGACCCCACAATGACACCATGTTATAGTTGATGTGACTCCGCCCCTTCACACATTTCACCCAATAGCCTCAGTCATAGGAGGCGGGGGGGTGGGGTCTAGGAGGGTGGAACCCTCATACTGTACCCCAGATCCCACCATGTTATATTTGATGTGACATTGTTACATTGGGGGATCCAGGATGTAGTAAAAAAAAAGGGTCCACCCTCCTAGACTCCTATGACTAAGACTATTGGGTGAAACGTGTGAGGGGGCGGAGTCATGCCCGAGAGACTTTCTCATGACCCCGTCCCCATCTTCCTGGAGTGCTGCCGTCCTCAGTGAATGACCCCTCCCACTGCGCCCTAGATTGTGTCCTTTATAACACGGTCCCTGATAAGTAGCAGAGGTGACAACCATTGAGGTGGGATCCTTTCCCCTTCGGGGGGGTGTCACAATACTTACCGTCTGGATGAATTTATTGCAGATGACTTTTTTATCTCCCCTGCAGACAAGAGACAAGAAAATGGAGATGATTCGGATGAGGAAAGGACAGTGTCATGGAGACAGGAGACACATTTCCACTGAGCCAGTCCCTGCTGATGGACCATACTGGTGGGGTGTAAGGATGTGCCCGGGTATTACCCCAAAGACTCCCCCTCCCCCTCTAAATCAAGTCCCAGATACTTCTGCAGCAAGAAGCAACTTTTATCATTCCTATAGAAGACGTCACCACCAGACAGGGGCAGCTGCTGACAAAGGCAAGCCCCCAGAACTACATCTCCCAAGAGGTTCACTGTCGGCGGAGAGGAAGATAACACTGGCTGGGGACGACGTATGGCGGCGCGCTCTTCCTGTCACTCACCAGTCATCGCCGATCTTGTACACGTAGATGATGTTGTCCGTCTGTCCAATAGCAATCTTGGTAGAGTCGGGGGAAAAGGCCATTCCTTTCACCATGTAGCTCTTCTTCCCGTACTAGACCAATCAGAGAAGAGATCAGAGGAGACTCCTCCTCCATACACCAATCATCACACGGGGCCCGGGCACTCACCTTGGCATCGGCGGGCTTTGTGGAGAACTTGTCTCTTCTCTCCCCGTGTTCATCATAGAGGAGAACCACCCGATCCACCGTGCACACCGCAAACCGCGCGTTGTTCTGCGACCACGCCATGCACGTCACCTTCGCCGCTCCGTCCTGCAAGAGAGGTCACCTGATCACACATCGCCCCGGGCAACCCCGCATGACACCTAACATACTCCACCTGTCCCCTCCAACATACCCCCCTC